CCTCTTTGCCTCAGGTAGCAAAGGTGGCAGCAAGCCCAAGGATGTTTCCTTGGTGGGATATGTCTCATATCTCCCTGTGTCCCTGCTAATATGCAGTAGTGATGTGTCCTCTACATCCAAAAGGCCTTGGGATTTGGGCACTAAGTATGCAAGTCGGTTAAAATGGCTTGGTGCAGGGGCCAGAGTGTCAGCTGCTCTCAGATGTGACCATCTGAGAGTACAAGTGTTGCCCACAGGAACTCAGTGATAGGCCTCCACATCCAAGCTACCAGCCTTGTACATTAGTTACTCAGTAGTTCTTCCTCTCACAAGTTCCTAAAATGAAATAACACAGGAAAATGTAAAGGTCTCAGTGGAACATGATAAGCTCCCAGAACAAACTGTTCTCCCCTACTGTATTTTCTTCACTGGAAAGCTGTAGGACTTTCACCATGAATACCTGCTGGTATTTATTTCCAGTCTTCTTAGGAACAAGCTCCAGTGATGCACTTTTCTATTATTCACCTTTCCTCCATCCAACTGCTAGTTCAGGTTGCAAGATCAAAACAAGCATTCACAACAAACATAACTGCCCCCAATACAACTCTAGCTTAGCACTGGCTAAAAAACATTCACTTTGTAGATTCTACTGAAATCCTTGTTTTGTTTGAGACTGACTTCATCTGCATGCCAAAAACCAGACTGCATGCTTCCAGCTCCCTCTTTCTCATCTCCCTCCCAACAACTTCACAAGAATTTCAAACAAGAAAAGGCTGGCAACTTGTTGAAGGAACACAAAGACTTTGTCCTTGCTAGCTGGAGAAATAGCACTGGTACCTGTCCATCAAGAACTTGTGGCTTTTCAGTTTGCATGTTTCTTGCTAGCAGTGTTTATCCAGGTAGCACAGATGGGGCGTATCATTTGGCAAGCTTACCTGTAAGCTTTCTACAACAAAGATGATAACAGGTGCAAGATAAGGGACACGTACAAAACCAGAGTTCATTACAAATACATTTGCATCCAAAGCAGCAGCGGCAGGACTTGGCTCTGCTTTATCTTAAAAGCATACACTTTGTGAATTCCATTCAAATACTCCCTGTATTTGCATCTGATATCACCCCAGGCAACAACATGGAACCAAGTTGTGTTTGCGTAGGCCTGCGCTTCTGCGCAAGGGCAGACAGATAAGTCATCTCTCATGACAATATTGAGTTTTCAGGGTGGCTCTTGAAAAACCAGAGCCAAAATTCTGAAGAGAGTCCATTGTCCCCACAGAGAGCTGGGTTTTCAAAGGAATGCCTTAGATAAATAGCAATGCCTTCTCAGTTCTGAAATCCTCATTTTGATGTCAAAGTGGAAGCCGAGCAGCTATGTGCTAAGCCCTTGAATATCTGGCTCCACGTCCTGCTTCTGCCTGTGTGCTCAGAGAATGTGGTACAGCTCTGGAGAGGTTCTTGGTCAGAGAGGATTAGTAACCCACAATTAGGAGAGAGTCTGAGGTTAATTAGAATGATCTGTGTGTGATACTATACCCTTATTCTGAGTTACTCTCTGCAGAAGTCCTGTTTTGCTCCACTGGCTAAAAAGAGATAAGAGACTATCCTAAGAAAAGATAGGTATTGAAAGGTATCGTGCAACAGAAGTTGCATGACCTGAATACCCACTGCTTCACTCACAGCTTTGCAGCCTGAATCAGAAATAACTGAAAGCTAGTTAACATCCATAAATGTGCTTGATGGCATATTTGAAGTGCATTGAGAGATCCACCTATCCCTATCCAGGGAGTAAAACTGATCCTCACGTAAAACTGCAGGAGGTTTGAGAATACCAGGTGGGCAGCAATTCCTGCTGAGTGCAGTGGAGTGTGCCCATGGTTGGCAAAGGTGTCAGTGGACATGGAAAAAAGAGCTGTTTGCTTTCACTCAGGACACTCAGTTCAGTCCTTCAGCACACAGCCAGAGAAGCACACAGTGGTTCTCATGCTTCATAAATTCGAGACCTTTGTTCTCCACTGTCATTAGTATAGCACCTCTTGCAGTTTTCATCTGTGATTGAAACTGGGGAGTGCAAAATGGTAATAAGAAATGTTTATAAACACATTTATCTACAGGCAAAACCACAAAAAATAAACACATGCAGCAGCAACAAAGATGAAACCCCTTCACTGCAACGTCATTTTGAAACTTTTTATCTACTTTGCAATTAAAGACTTTATTATTTAAACCACGTAAAATGGGATAAGTGCATTTTAATGTAGCTCACTGCTTGTTACCACATGCATGAATGTATTATTCTGTGGCCAGGAATGGAACGACTGCAGTTAGTCATGTTTTGTTAGTGTACTCCCTTAAAACAAAGATTTTTGGCTGAGTATTTTTTGTAGTTCAGGTACAAAATAACTGCCACATGCCTGTTACCTGTGGCATGCAACTGGACAGGAAATACTATGGCTACTCCACAAAGATTTTTTCCTCAACTCTCATACTGGAATGAATCCAGGATTATTCAGCAGAGGAAAATGAGATGGGGCAGGAATATATCCTTGCCCATACAAGCGCAGGTCCCCATTCTTATTTCTTCTCTTGTTGTTACAGGTTAGGATGCTGGTGTCTCTCATCTTCCAGCCAGTACCTCAGCCTGTTGGATATCCTGAGGTGGGTCTCTTCTTCCTTTATCTTCTGTATGATGACTTTTTGGGCACTAGCACCTGAATACAAGTAGGCCTCTCATATTTCAGGCTCTGCTTGGCTAGCATGGGATAGCTCAGGGTCTCTCCCATTTATATGCTGACAAGTACTATCTGCATATCTATAAGAGTTGTTGGTTATAACTGATTGGTATTTTCCGATATTTTTTCCCCCTGAAATCCCATTTTAAAGCAAGTGAATTATCTCTGCCTAAACCAGTCACTGTTGTCACTAGCAGTTCCGCTAGTGCTACAATCAATACAGACTTGAAGAAGCTTTTTGTTAATTATTCATGGTGTGTGAAGTTTTTGTTTAAAGTGAAAAAAAAAAAGTAATTTAATGAGAACGGTGAGGGTGCAGAATGACCAGAAACAAATGTCAGTGCGCTGAGAAAGAGGTCAGGACTTTTATAAGACACCTGGTTAATTCTTTTCTTACTAAGGGTTTAAATCAGTTTAGCAGTGTTTTGGTTCATTCAGAGATTAACAAAATTTAATATTTTATAAGATTTATTTATAATACCCTTGAGGTTTAGAGTATGTTTATGTAACCTTTCTGCCAGGAATTGGCAGCAGCTGAAAGAGCTGGATTCATTTATCTAGGGGTTCTCTCTGAAAACTTAAACAACAGCAGTTTCAGCCTCCACCCAGAAATCTACCAAAGCTAAATGACCTCCTTTGGGTGCCCTGACAAACATAATTCCTGCTCAAGGCAGAGCAGGGATTCAAAACAAGGTCCAGAGTTTTGAGACAAAGAGAACTTTAGAGACGAGGGAAAGAACAGAGGAAAAGGGAAGAATAAAGACTCAGCATAAACCCACAAGAGCCACTAATCAATAAAATAAATAAGGTTGGGGTGAGATTCCCAGGCTTCCTTTCCTCCTCTCCCCTGTGTTGTCTTGCCATGACACAAAATAAAAGCTTGCTCTCATTTCCAAACAGAAGTCTTGTGACTTGAATGTTGCTGCCCACTCAAAGCTTGCCCCACATGCACTGTGTGGCTCCAGTTCAGTTAGCTCTGCTAACAAACATGTATATTACTGGACATGATCAGGAGATCCTCCTCGCTTTCCCTGCTGGTTCTCACAGTGAACTGATTCACACCACCAGATTGCTACAGGACTAACTCAGCAAAACAGAGCAGTGAAACTGGAAGCAGGATGGCAAGGCTGAGGACAGAAAGCTCAGCTGCTGCTGCTGCTTCTACTAGTAACTACACACAGTTCGGTTTGGTGTAGTTTTAAGATAAGACAGTTCTTAAGCATAGCAAGCTTTATGTTAACGTATTGGTTCATCCTCATCTAGGCCAAACTTGGAGAGAGCACAGCTGCTCTGCTTGTGACTACAGGACTAAAATGACTGCACTGTGAGCTAGCACTGCAGACAGGCTGTGTCCAGCACAAGGTCCAGCAGTGTCCCAGCCTGCACCCAAAGGCTTTTAAGTCATCCTCTGTGACTGCATCCTTAAGTGATGGACGCAGTCCAGAGGAGGGCACAAGGACAAGGAGAGGGCTGGAGAACCTCTTCTACAAAGACAGGCTGAGGGAGCTGGCCTTGTTCAGCCTGGAGAAGGCACAGGGGAGACTTCAGTGTGACCTTCCATTACATAAGGTCAGCTTATAAGCAGAGGGGAGACCGACTTTTTACATGGTCTGATAGTGATAAGAAAAGGGGGCGGTTTTAAACCAGAAGAGTTATATTAGTTGTCAAGGAAAATTTTCACTGTGACGGTGGTGAGGGCCTGGCACAGCTGCCCAGAGAAGCTGTGGGTGCCCCATTCCTGGATGTGTTCCAAGCCCAGGCTACATGGGGCTCTGTGCAATGATCCGGTGGGCAGCAGCCCTGCCCACAGCTAAGAACTCGGTGAGCTTGCGATTCTTTCCAAGCCAAGCCATCCTATGAGGATGCCAGGACGGCAGAAGGCTCGTGTAGAGCCTGGTCTCCCCTGAAGCCTCATCCCGCGTGTGGTACCAGTGCTGCGTTGCCTGGCAGTGGCCTTCTGTGAACGCCTCCAGTCAGAGTTTGGGTCTGCTGCAAGAAGAGATTTCATCACCTCGCCCCTCCAGGCTCAGCGGGTGACTGTGTGAGGCCTCACGCTGCGAGGAGCAGCGGCGCCCGGCTCGACCCGCCACAGCAGTCAACTGCGGAGGCCATTTGCAGGACAACAAAAGGCCACGCGGCCCTCCAACACCCGGGCCGTCACCGCGCGTTCTCGGGCGCCGCCTATCGACCCCCTCGATCCGTGCGCTCCCCGGCGCGGGGTGAGGAAGGGGCCGCCCCGTGGGCTGGGGCTGACTGACGGCAGGGGCGGAACGACGCGGCGCTGCGGATAGCATGGCGGCCGCCACGGCTGCGGGCGGGCTGCGGTCTGCGTCGTTTCCCCGTGTGCTGAGGGCGGTGGGGGCCCGCGGCGGGCTGTCGTGGCCGCGAGGCGGGAGGGCGGCGGCGGCGGGCTGGAGCAGGCCGGAGCCCGGCGGAGAAGCGCAGTACTGCGCCGAGCTGCTGCGGTGAGTGCGGCGTGGGGAGGCCGGGCCGCTCCTAGCCCGCCTCGGGGGTGGGGAGAGCTGCTGTGCGACGCGGGGAGGGCGGCCCGGCCCGGCCGGGGATGGGGCTGCGGGGGGCGGGTCGGTCCCAGTCACGGAAGATAAGATGGATGTGACTCCTCTTTTTTTTTTTTTTTTTCCCCTTTTATTCTGTTAAAAACAGACTACTTATGGCAGCTCACAAGCATTCAGGGTAGTGAAATGAAGTGTGCTTGTGCTTTTGACGTCGCCGCTGTTGATTCCCACGCCGATTGGCATGGGAATCGTAACAGCTCCGGGGAATGAAAAGGCCGAGGGGGTCGAACAGAAATAAATCGCTTCGGGCGGTGCAGGCAGCTCTCATTTGTTTATTACAATAAAAACTTTCTTCCTGGGGCATGAAAGCTTTACAGCTCTGCCCAGGTTGGGCAGTACGGGCTGTTTTTACAGTCTGTTCAGAAACAGTTCCTTGGTTTTGAGCTGATAATGCTTTGCAGAAATTGTCTTAAACTGAGGAAGGTTTGATGCGTTTGTTTTTTAATTAACAGCTGTTTACGAGGGTGGACAGTAATAGGACAAGGGGGAATGGTTTTAAACTGAGATGGGGAGATTTAGGTTAGATATTAGGAGGAAGTTTTTCACTCAGAGGGTGGTGACACACTGGAACAGGTTGCCCAAGGAGGTTGTGGATGCCCCATCCCTGGAGGCATTCAAGGCCAGGCTGGATGTGGCTCTGGGCAGCCTGGTCTGGTGGCTGGTGACCCTGCACATAGCAGGGGGTTGAAACTGGATGATCTTTGTGGTCCTTTTCGACCCAGGCCATTCTATGACTCTGTGATTCTATTACGAATGTGGCTGAAAGCCAGAAATGCCTTTTTTGGTTGATATTTGTGGCTTCAGGCTCTAACACAAGTTCCAGAAGTATTATGAGAATTCTTAAGTATTTGCTTGTTATCAGCTGTTGTGTGTTTAGAGGGTAAGAACAGCTGTTAAATTTCATTTCCTTTTTGTTTCATGCTAAAATAGCAACCCCAGTACTACCCCCGGTTTGGTTTTGCTATCTTAAGCTCACATTCAAAAGAAATAGGAGTACATTTAAGGACAAACTTCATGAAAATGAGTAAATATTTAACTAGACGCTTGCTGCTCTGCTCTTAAGGCATAACTCGGAGTTACTACTTTTGTTCTCTTGAAGAATCACGTTCCTAGCTTATCAAAAGTACACAAACCATTGCTCAAATCAGGGAAGTGAGCATTTCTGAGGTGACCAAGTGTTTCTGGTAGTTACACCTACGTATGATTTTGCAGTTCATAATCATTCTCCCTGTGCTCTGATTGTTCTTCATTTAATGGCGCTCCCAAGCGGCCAAACAAAAGTATACCAGTTTAGATTGACAGCAAGTGCCAGAGTTCTTATACTTTTAGTATAGTTGTCAATAAACCAAAATGTAATGGTTAATCCATTGCTCTTCTGTTGAGCTTCAACGTGTGGTCTTTCAACAAAATGTGGTTTCATATTTAGAACAGAAGTCTGGAAATCAGAGAGTCTGGATTCTGTTTGCAGTTCTTCTACAAGCTTGTTCCATGCCTTTAGCCGAATATCTTGAGATCTGGATTTGGGCAGTGCATTGAGAGTTCAGATTGCATTCCCCCCTCTTGGAGCCTGCCTTATTTCAAAATAAGCTTAAAAGGTGCTGCTTTTGCAAAAAATTGGACTTTTGAACTGTAACTCGCTGCTACTATTTTAGGAGCCCTAAACTAAGCAACAGCATGCCTGATTTGCATGGAGCTATAAATAATATATCCATTCTTTTTGTCCTTTTATAGAAAGCGTGACTATGAAGGGTTTCTGTGTTCTCTGCTGTTGCCTGCAGAATCTCGAACCTCTGCTTTTGCCTTGAGAGCATTCAATGTGGAACTGGCTCAGGCAGGTATTAAAATATACTTGTGAACTCTGGGAATGTGTAATTTAGAGTTTCAGAACTGTTATTTAACAAGCAGCTGGTGTTTTGCTGAGATTAACTTTTCATACTATAAAGGGCAATGAAAAAAGTCAGTACAAACCTCTAGTTTTGAGTGGCCCTTGGAAAATTGTCCCCCCACTTTATTTTGTTCATGTGTATAGATGTTGTGACTCTTCTTTATGCTATGTATTTTCAAAATTATGTGATAACAAACAGGCTGTGGTACTGGTATGTGATTGCATCTGTGCTGGCTTCAAAAGCACTGAGTGCATTAGAAAAGTGTAGCTAACCCCTATTTGTAAAACGCCCATCAAAATTTTGAGTGAAGGAGTCAGATGCTGGTAAAAGCAAAGTAAAGGAAATACTAAGAGAGAAGTTAGATTTGTGGTATGGGAGTGGCTGCAGTCTCTCACCTTTGCTGGATAGCCAGAAACTTCTAATGCAACCACAGAAGTTTGTGGCACTTGCCAGAAGGAAGCAGAGCAGTTGAAGATATGTGCTTACTCAGCAAACCCTGTGATAAGCCTCTGTGGGCTGTGCTTCTGGCAGCCTATAGTGCTTCCCTCCCTCACTGCTGTTACCACTGCTTCTTATCCTGAGAAGAACGCCAAGGTGGGAATTGTCTTGGACTTAAACTCTGTGTGTTCCAAAGTCACCTTGTGGTGAATATTTCATTTTTATTTATTCTCTGTAGTGGTTGTAAGTTTCATTAGGAGTGAGCAAACTGAGAACAGAGCCCTTTTCCTAGTGAGTTAGTCTGTTTCTCTGTCTGAGTTTTCAGTAGAGGCAGACCATAGTGCCTTAAGGAGACTGTGAATTTCACTCCAGATGTATCCTTTCCAGATTAAAGACTCCATAACTCAGAAGACTACAGGTTTGATGCGAATGCAGTTCTGGAGGAAAGCTGTAGAAGATATATACAGCAATAACCCACCACATCAGCCAGTTGCTGTAGCACTGTGGAGGGTAAGATACATCTTTGTTATCCTGAAGTTCACTTGATGAAAATACTGCTGTGAGAAAAAATGTTTTCTATGTATTGTGTTGCATTATTAACTATTATTTTACAGTTAATGTAAATTATTTAATGTAATTATTTTACAGTTAATGTAAAGGGTGTGCATGTCTGTATGGTACCTTCTCACCTACAATTACAGAATAGAATCAGAGAAGGAGGATATTTAGGTGTGACCTAGTTGAAATCATGGAATCACAGAATGGCTTGAGTTGGATAGGATCCAGTTCCAACCCTGCTGCTTACGTGCAGGGACGTCTTCCACTAGGCCAGGTTGCTTAAACAGTGCAGCAATGAGATATCCACAGCTTCTGTGGGCAGCCTTTTCCAGTGTCTCACTATTCTCATAGTAGAGAACTTCCTATAGTCTAATCTAAATGTTCCTTTTTTTAGTTTAAAACCATTACCCCTTGTTACATTTCTCTGATAAAAAGCCTCTCGCTATCTTTCCCATAAGGCCTCCTTTAGGTACTGCAAGGCCACTGTAATGTGTCTCTGGAATGCTTCTGAAGGAGTGAAGAAGCCCAGCTTACTCAGCTTTCTGGTAGGAGAGGTGCTCCAGACCTTGCAGAGTCCTCATAGGCTCCTCTGAGCCCACTCCAGTGGCTCCACATCTTTCTTATGCTAGGGGTCCCAGGCCTGGATGCAGTACTGCAGGTGGGTTCTAGTGAGAACGAAGTGGAGCAGGACTATCAGCTCCCTTACCCTGCTGGCCATGCTGCTTTTAATGCAGTGCAGGTGGCTTTCTGGGCTACAGGTGCACGCTGTTGACTCATACTGGGTTTCTCATTGACCAAAACTCACAAGTCCTTCTCTGCACTGTTGCTCTCAATCAGTTTTCTGCCCAGCCAGTATTGTGTTTGGGATTGTCCCAGTCCATTTGTTTGGCCTATCATTTGGCCCTTCTGAACTCCATGAGGTTCGCATGGGTCCATCTCTTGAGTCTGTTGAGGTCATCCTGGATTGTCACTTCCCTCCAGTATGTTGACCTCACCACACAGTGTGATGCTGTTGGCAACTTACTGAGTGTGCACACAATCCCACTGTCAGATGTATCTTTCCTAAGCGAGTGCTGGTCCTGCCTGAAGAGCAAGTTTTACAAAAAGACAGGAGGCAAAGCACAGGGATTAATCCAGCAAATTGTGTATGAGGAAAAGCCCAAGACCTTCATACCCAGTTACTGGGTAACAGAGAGAATCTTCATACTGCCTCTCTGCTTGCTAAAGGGTTGCTTGATGACTTCTATTCATATGATAATCTGTGCAGATCCTTTTGTGTCTGTTGAGTAACAGGAAATGTACTTGTGAACTTAAAAGTTTATTTTTACCAAGACATCTGTATGTGAATTCTAGCAAGCACCAGAACATTACTCACAAAGTACGCCCACAGACCTGTTCCTCTTCGAGTCACGGCTGAAGAAGAAAATTTCTGTACAAATTTTTTATTTCTAAGTAGAGCTGCCATTGGGAAGTTCATCAGATAACTGAAGGCGTTATAAATTGATCTCTCCGTGATCATGATTTAGAGTCACAGAATAATTTAATTGGCATGGGCCTCGGGTCGTCGTCTAGACCATGTTCCTACTTAGAGCAGGTTGAACTTCAGAGCTAGTAGATCAGATTTTCAGAGTCACGTTGAGTTGAGTTTCTTCAGAGATAGCAACTCTGTATGGTGCTAGCTGGTCATCTTAGGGCCACAGGTCACATCAAGTCTTAAGCCTTACAGCAGGTGCTTTTTTGAAAGGTTCTGTAAGATCAGATCTTGTGTTTAAACTGGGGCTCTCTGGGCTCCTGGACAGAGAAGCTGCAGTTTGTCTAGGTCTCCATAGCTGAATACACTTTTAACGTAGATCCCTTAGGTAGGTAGTTGTATGACCAGTTGAAAAGCAGACAGACAAATATGGACTCTTCATCCAAGTATTCATTTGCTTTCTTTGCATTAAAAATCCCTGACTCCCACTGTAATGCTGGGTTGGAACAATGCAGATCCTGTGGGACTGGAGTGTTTTAACGTTAGTTCTCTGTTGCACCTCTGAGAGCACAAAAATGAGTTCTTTTCAAATCTTCTTTGAATGACTGTTGAAAGTGCTGAAACTGTGGCCTGTCCCTGGTTGTTCTTCCCTCAAGTGTGAAATAAAGCATAAGTCAACATTTGTTCCTCTGTCAATACGTGGGTTAAAATTGGATTTAAACAAGATACTGTTTGCTTAAGCAAGGGAAAACACAGGTGAAGCCAGGAAGTAAAATAAAGGAAGAACACCTTCCAGTCAGTCATTTTTAGGAGGTGCAGAGCTATCCATGGGTGTCTTTAGCTCTTATAAAGTGTGCCACTGCCACAACCAGGTGTCCATACAGTTAGAATGAAGACTGGCAAATGTTGCAAGCCTTTTTTGCTGAATTATGGGTATTAAAATATCACCAGTGCTCCATCTTTAATACAAACATTAGAATGCAGTATTGATAGTTCTGCGTGTCAATCTGTCTGTGCCTTTGAATATTTTTTTTTTATTCTTTCTGTTTCAGTGTATGGCAAACTGCCCAGAAATGGATTGTTTTCTCCCCAAATGCTTGTCTCCTTTCCAAGGAGGAACTTGCTTTTTTTGTCAAGTTTATTTTTGTTTCTGAAAACATCCTCAATTTTAATTGTCTGAGTAGAGTAGGTACAAATTGGTTTTGGATATGATTGTATGTATTCTTTCCACTACTTCTAATTTCAGGCTGCTTATGTGTATATCAGCGTGGGGCAGAAATGTTTGTTGGCTAAAGATTAACTTTCAACAAACATAGTTCAGATATAAATTGCAGCCTTTGCCACCAGCTAGGAGTGCTAGTCATGCTCTGTTCTCACACAGGAAGTTGTTTTTGTAGTAGAAGAAAGAATTGGCCTATCTGTATAGTAAGTCTTGACCTTACGTGTGGCTTCTCTGATAGAAGACAATCCAAATAGAATAGGTTGTGAAGTAAGGTGTTGGGAAAAGGTCTGAAAGTATTTCTGGGAGCTCTGCTACCTCTGACTGCTGCAGAGCACTGTAATGGGCTGCAGCACAGCCTGTCCTGGAGACCTCTGCACTCTAGATACGATTTAGCTTCTGTATTTCAGCAAATACCCCAAGAATGACTTATTTGAGGAGTGTAACTTTGCAAATCTTTATGAGTATCGTTGCAGTTCTGAGAAAGTAAGATTAAGACATCTGGGCTGTTAGGTATTGCAGAGCTGTTAACAGAACTAGCATGCCTTTCACACAGTATATTTTGAGTACACTCTGTTCCCACTGTTGAGTTTGAATGCAGACAGTTCTGATTTTCCAGAAATACTGATTCATTATGTTAAACTTTTCAAAAAGTTTTGTGTATTGCAGAATACCCAAATTTGGATTCTGAGAGTATTCTCAATTCTGGATTGTGCATGCTAGTGAAGAATAAATAGTCTGTAAAAATATTTCTAGAACTGTGAATGGCTCAACTCTTAGCAACTTGAATATAAATTTAGGTGGCAACCTTGTTCTATTTGTTCTTACATGTATATCCATTTTGAACCAATGCAAAGTGAGCTCTGGTCCTCTGCTTATTTCTGGGCAAAATGAGAATTTGAAAAATGAGAACTTAGTTGAATGATGGTAGCTTAAAATGGATGTAACACACACGTAGGGTAATTCAGCAGAGCTTGGACTGTTACAGGGACTTTATTTGCCAGCTCACTCCTCAGATGAATAAGTGAGAAGCCAAACTGATGCGTAGGTGTAACTTAGAACTCACTTTTTTGCACACCTGGTGTTTCCCCAAAGCACAGTTAGCTGAATCAGCAATAAGACCTAGTTTTACCAAACTTGGAAAGATACTTACAAATATAATGTGTGTACAGAAGTAGGTAGTGAACTGTAAGGGTGAAGATTGAGAAATCTGCCCCATAAGTTTTGGTTTTAAATATAAATATGTATGATTATAGTCTTGCTGACAGTGTGGTCTGCAGAATCCATGTAGGTTTGGAGGAGTGTGTGTGCATGGATGGATGGATGGGTGTAAGTCAGAGGACTGAAGAGAAGTTGAAGAGTTGTATTAAGCAAGGCAAGTGCAAGTTAAGAGCCAAAATAAGATGTGTGAATATGAAATGCTTTAATAAAAGCAAAAAAACAAAACCCACTTAAGTATCCCTAAACTGTAATATGCAATAAGTTATGTATTTTGTTACAGAAATGCTTTTAGTTAATTAATATCCAAGATTTCATTTTCTTGTGTGTATGAAGTCGAAGCAAATGCCAATTAGACAATTTTTATATTTGAAGATTCTCCTTTTTTCATTAACTTACCAGTTTGATTCAGTGAATACAGGCCTTGTGAAAAAGTACTATCAAAAATAGTTTTCAGCTGTCATAATGCAATAGTGCCATCATTTTTTATACACTAACAGCATTTTTTTAATATAATTTTCAGGCAGTTAAGAGGCATAACTTGTCTAAAATGTGGTTCACGAAGATCATTGATGAAAGAGTAAGTATTTACCATTCAAAGTCTCATTCTCTTTTCAATCATATTAGACTTTTTCCCCATAATTTCATGTTTGTGTGTAAAACCAAAGGATAAGTAATTCATCTGTTTCAGACAATGGTATTTCTCCTGCGAAGAACACTTTTAATTTCCTTTTAATTCTCCCTTGATTCTTACAATTTCTTACAATTCTTACAATTTCTGCTCTTCTTGGCCAAAAAGGTAATAGAATCCCTTCAGAATTTAAAGCAGAGCTTGTGAGTGTGAATCTTTTTTGTTCTCTGCTCTGATAATGTATCTGTGCTCCCATTTTTATACTGCAGACCTTAGTTTCTGATTTAAAGTAGTTTCCTGTAGTAGTAATCCGTGGTGAGTTACACCTGGCCTTTCTGTTTGTAACTGAGGGAAGTCCTGTCTGGTGATATTAAATGTTAAGGTCTCTATGTACAACTATTAAAAATTCTGGAAAACTGCGTTTGAACAGAAATGGAAATGAAGTTGTGTAAGAAGCAAACCTCATTCACAGCCTCTTTTCATGCCATTCCAGTCCTGCTCTTGGCATCTTTGTGTTCTTTTTCATCTCTTATATTACCATGTCAGTTTTGCCCCTAAATTGCCTTATCTTGTGAAGAGTCACAGGTATAAAACCTCAAAATTGGCTGAAACCTGTCTGAACTTTGCTGCCATACTTTGCTGTCTTTCTCCCTTGCGTGCTCTAAGTCCGAGCTGTAAGATAATGTGAATCTAAAAATACCCACCCTATAGGAGGAGAAAAAGAGAGAGAATTTCACAGATACAGTGATGCTGCTACCAACTCGGGCACGAGGGCAAGACTGAGGGCAGGAATTCCTTGAAGTAGCTTTGCTGCTGAAGCTGGTATCTTGTGAAGTTACACTGTGAGCAAATTGATGGTCACTTACTTTCAGTGTCATTGCTATGAAAGACTTGAGAGTTTTAAATGTTAAAACTGGTAGATTTTAGCCACAAAAGCCACTAGGACAGGAAGAATAATGTCAGAAATTCTGTACTGGGGAGTGCTTGCATGTGACTTTGAAACTCATGTGTGATGGATTGATTTATTTTGTCTTGTTTTGTGTGTGTGTTCTAAAGTATATATTCCTGTTTATTTTCCATTCTTCAGATGCTAACAAAGTATTAAAATTAGCAATTCAATAGTTAAGAATACAATAAAATGGTTTTTATTGGCAGTATCACTTTTTTCTGAAAAATTTTGATTTGTCATTGCAAGAGGTTGTAATTGCTCCAGTTACAAGACTTAGTTGTGGTTATATCTACTTATCTGTACAGTCGCAGAGTTGCTATGGGCTTCAGTGCCTGTTTCTATCAGTATATACTCCTTTCATCTCTCTTAATGTTACCTGTTCTTGCTAATAGAGGATTAGGCTAATGTGAACAAGTAGCTGGCACGAATAGCAGTTATACTTACTTTTTACTGAAGTTCTGTGTTCAAATTACAGGAGAAGAATTTGGATGATAGAGCATACCGTAACATCCAGGAGCTTGAAGCATATGCTGAGAACACTCAGAGTGCTCTCTTATACCTCATGTTGGAAATGCTGGGTAGGTGCTTCCCCATTTTTAGATTTCGTTGATGACTCATTAATGCTGGTATGCATACACTGTTGCAAAAAACAAACAAACAAAAAAATAACCCTAAAAACAACTCTTTTTCCACCCAATTTTCATTTCGGTAGAAGTTCTCACATGAGTTTTTTTCTGGACGCTCAACCATAAACCTGGAATCTTAGTGCAGCTCTTAAAACTACATACACTCCTTAGAAGATAACTCAGTGGAAAGTTCACAGTAGTTTTCTACTGTTCTGTTCTTCTTGCCCCTACTATGGGGTGTGGTAAATTCAGCTCTTTACTGTGTTTTCTGTTTGTTCCACTTGGTAGAACACAGAGCACTGTAGTTAATCAGCAGCTATTGTTCTCTACTGCAGTGATATACACTGGCTATTCTGAAACACTTCCAGTTCCAAACCTATAAGCTTCCCTTGGTTGCTAACTTGGGCTTGAATCCTCTCTCCTTCCTAAAAGCAGATTCACTATCAATAAATGAATAGCTAGGAAAAAAGGCAACGAAGACAATATGATCCTTGTGGTTTAAAGCTAATGTTGCGTAGTAGAATACTCACAGATTGGAAAAGAACTGCTCACTTGAGGTGAAGAAGAGGACGATTTTCTTTGAGATTGTGCACTGCATCATGGCACTGTTGCCTGTGTGAGCTCAGATGTGAGAAAGCTGGTGTTTATTTATTAGTAGCATAATATTTAGCATGAATGTTGTAGTCGCAACATCAGAGTCATCTGATGGGATGTCAAAGCTGACGTTGAAAGAACGGAAAAAAGAGTAGTAGAAAGAGCACATTCTTTTCAGGAGGAAATGAAGAACCCACATCTTAACATCTAATATTTGCTTTCTCAGTAGGGATTCAGTGAAATCTTGCAAATGTCTTTGAGCTTTTGATTGTAGAAATGTAGGACTATGGAAAATATCATCGTCTTCCTGCTGAGAAATGTCTTTAATACTGAAGGATGTTTGGCTCACTTCTGTTGAAAGTCAGATGATCCTGTTCTTGAAATCTGAAGTGGGGATTCCACATTTTCTGTGGCTTCCTGTCATGTTTAACTTCTCTTAAGTGTGACAATTTAACAAAATATCTTAGCAAGAATCTCCTTCGCTGTACGTTAAGCAATTATCCTGTGTATTCTTTCAAAAATGGTGAAATTAACTGAACATAGTCTAGATATTTCTCATCAGCAGTCTTTTCTATACTACATAGACCAAGTCTTCTTTGCTAAATTTCTCGTGCTTTTTTAGCTTCTTTACTCCTGCCATCTCCAGGTGGTGTGTATCTTTCTTGTAGTAGTGCTGCTTCGTTCTACTGATTTTGGGTTACTTCTCTTCTCAGGCTCATTTTGACTTATAAACTTATCTTCCAAAGTCTGCTCTCTACCACCATTGCCATAGTAACTCCACATAGTCTGCCTGTACACACTATTTCCAAAGGGTTGAAACTCAGGCAAGGCTCAGGCAATGAATCCGCTATATCTGGTATCCTTTCCATCTGTCAGGTAGGCTCACTGATCTGGTATCCTCATTTCTGTCTTTGTGGAATGTTGCTTCTGTTAGAACTCTCGTGAATTTCAGTTTTCCTTATTTTCCTTTAAATTTTCATTTTATCTGGTTCAGCCCTGTGATCAGTATAAGCCAATATTATATGGTCTTGCCATGAAGAAGGATGATGCTGCTTTACCCCAGTCACCATCCTCTTGTCTCATTTAGTAGCCAGGCAGGAACCAAAGTTAGCTGTACTGGTTTACCCTGCTGCTATCTCATTACCCCTGGCAGCACGAGGGAGGTGGCAGACATATGGGGGAAGCATATGGCCATTCTCCTTAGCTTTGGGACACTGCTGAATCAGCTGCAGCTAATGGGTGAAACCGCGCTGTAAGCATAATGCTGGTCAGGAATCTCACACTTGAATGATTTCTCTGGCAGGGCAAACTGTTCTTGGAATGTTGCTATCCTGAAAGAAGGTATGCCAGTGTAAATGGCTCTGTGTAGCAATGGATAGCATCTGGACAGGAATCAGTGCATTCCCTACTGCTTTGCACCTCTGAGGTGAGGTCTCAAGGCAGGTTATGAACATAAGCAGCTCTGTAATGCATCAGTGCACTTGTTAGCTTTCCTTAAAAATGACTGAAGAAGACTCCTCAAGAGGTCTGACAGTAAGAATTGCTGTTTGTGCCATTTCAGGTGTGAAGGACATCCATGCTGACCACGCAGCCAGTCACATTGGGAAAGCACAAGGCATCGTTACCTGTTTGAGAGCTACTCCGTATCACTGTACAAGACGAAAGGTCTTTCTGCCCATGGACATTTGTATGTTGGTAAGAGAAACAAGTTACCTGGAACTGAACAATGTTGTATCTAACTGCATCTCTCAACACTAGATAGGAGTTTGTAATTTATTAGCACAGAAACAGCAGGCTTTTTTTTTCTTTTTTCTTCGTGGTGTGGTTTCTGCTGCAGCCCAGTGGTTTTGTAGATATGAAGTGAGAGGAATGAGCTTCAGGAAGCATCAGAATGTTGTTGGGTTTTTTTTTTTTTGTTTCCCCATTTTCTAGTCTTTTGTTAAATCTGGTAGTATTTCATCTTTCAGGAACTTTTCTGTTAAAATGTAGAAATACTCATGCAGATTGGGGACTTCTGCCAATCTTCTCAAGTTTCTCTTTACATTACCTTTTTATAAATGTTCTGGTGTTCCTTTCTTTTTTTGGCCTTACACACTTGATAGCTATAACCATACCTTCCATATATTGCTGTATGAGATGGCATATGGTTCTCCAGTTTGAACTGTACACCTAGTTTGCATTGGAACCTAGTAGCTCTTGCAATTTGGGTAAACTGGAATTAAAGCTTATATTTTTTCATTAATGTTTTGGAGCCATTTGTAGCCATGGCAGCAGTTACTCCTTTATCTCCACTCTGTATTTTTAAATGTTAATGCCATTCTTGTGCTTGAGCGAAGTTTATGTCATTATGGTGATGCTTAAGGCACTTCTGGTCTTTACTGTATGTAATTTCAGTACAGTTGAAAGTTTTGATTTGAAGTTTAGTCACTTAAGTAGTCTGCGAAAGGCGCAGTCACTAATGTAGGTCAGGTTTCTGGGACTGCAGGAAGAAGTCTGTAGGCTAAAAATTCAGTCATCCCTGCTGTGGAAGGTGTTGTACAGTGAAACTGTGTAGTCAAAGATCAGGGGACAGGCTAACAGCTTGTGTCCCTTCTGTGTCAGCATTTCAGCTGCAGGCAAGTATTGCGGGGTTGTACTTGAATCTGTACTTCTGGAGGCTCACTTGCCTACTTTATACAGTTTTCATGTCTGAACGTTGTTGAGAACAGGAAACTGGTGCAGTTCTGAATGTACTGTATTTTATCTTCCTGGTTACTGCAGTCAGAGAATGCTTTTTAAAATGTTTGTATTTTGCACATCTGGCATTGCCAATCCCGAAGTAAACATGGCTTCTGTGTTAACTGTTGCTGGCTTTGTTGCACTTTCTATGGTTTTCTGGAGTATGTTTAAGTTGATGTAACTTCCCAAAACTTTAAAGCTTAACACGGTTGTCTGTCTGACCGCAGTGTATTTAGGGAACAAGTCCATGCAGAGAGAGGGTCAGTTTCAAATGTTCTTTTATTCTCTTGAATTGTTTTCCAAGTAAGTGACAAAAAAAATTAGAGGAGTTGCAGGGAGGGGCAGCAGCAGAACACACTTGGGCTTTTTCAGGCTTAGGTCAGTAGTTTGGTTGCTGGGACAGGCTTTTGAATTTTCCTATCTTTTGTGAAGCTAAAATGGAAACGTGATATTTGTTGAGAGTTTTTTTTACTACTTGCTTTTCCTTCCTGTGTCTAGCATGGAGTTTCACAAGAGGATTTCATAAGATGCAAGCAAGAGAAAAATGTGAGAGATGTAATCTATGACATTGCCAGCCAGGCCCATGTTCACCTAGAACACGTGAGATTCCTTCCCCCTTTTCTTTCTTTTGAAAAACATAGTTGATGCTGTCCTTTGCAAAGCACTGTGAATGTATTGTTAGAAGTCTTCAGATATTTTAACCTAAATTACTTTGAGAGAAGTTTCAAACCTTTAAGTATTTTACAGCTACTTCTGTAAGGATATTATATTTATCTGTAGGTACAGGAGGCAGTTTTCTCACAGCCAGGTGCAGTTGCATGTATATAAGTACTGCCTAACAGCCTTATTACTGGGAGAGAAACTTTGAGCAGACTATTGTAAGTGCAAGAACGAGCCAGAATGGTATCAGCACCATAGGAAGGACTTGCACATATGGTACCTCACAGCACAGCGGGAGAGCTGTGACATTTTGGCTCTGACTGCTGGGTTAGTATTTGGGAGAGGGGGTTTCATTTCTCAGTGTGACCAGACGTGCACAGAACTGTGTTGGGAAATGTGTATTCTGTTTATTTCTTTTTAGGCTCATAGCCAGGTGCATTAGGAAGGGTGCTTCTTGCTTGGAGCAGTAGATAATGAATTCTGAAGACCTGCATAGTCTTTTTTTTTTTTCTTTTTTTTTTAAATAATAATTGCTGTTACTTTAGCTGCACTCAGAACCTGATGCAAAAAGCAAAAGAATGCTTCATCAGCAGTGCACTGTTAGTCTGCCTTTATCTGGAAAATAAAACTTGCAGGAAGCACTGCAAAGAGTTTTCTTTGTCAGCAGTACGTGTACACATGTACTTCAAGTATCGCATCAAACACAAGGAGTCTGAAAAGATACTGCTTCAAAGTAAGGAAATGTTGAAGTTCTCTGCATTTGCATCACAAATATAATCCTCAATTACAATGTTGGCCAATCACAAAGTATCTTCTGCAATATAGGCAGGAGAGCCCTTCTTAATTTTCATTTTTCTGAAGGTAAAATAAGGCATCCCTGGTTTGTTCTTTGTGTTGTTGGTTAGCTGATTAATTTTTAGGGGTCAAAAATATGTAGCTTCAGGCTTTATTTTTAATACAGACTATTTATAACCTGTATTAGATGTGTTTGTCTTCATGCTGTTTCACCTGATGTCTCAGCTTTTGTTGTCCTGTTCCCAAGGAAGCTGTTAATTGAAAAGTTTGAAAAAGAGGCAAAGAAAATGGAAGGTCAAAACTGCCCACATCAGTGTTCAAGCAGAAACCTCTTTTTTCTTTTTTTTTCTTCTTTTTTCCCTACTGTACCACCTGCAGTGTACAGGGCCTGAAACCTGTTGGGTTGCAGTTGTCATTACAAAAATGCTAAGAGTTTGGCCTGCAATGCCTCAAATCAGTGACAGCAGGTGTAGAAAAAACGAGCAGTGTGCATTTATTGTGCAGCTGTTTAAAATTTTGTTGCTGATATTGCACAAAAGCTTTGGGAAAGAAGCAAAGAAAATTCACCTCTTCAGAGCTTTTCAAATAATGTGACTGTGTGACCATTCTCACTGTGATGGTCCCCCATCCCTCCATGTCAAACTGCTGCTGAAGTGAGCAGTCAGAACCTTACTCCTTTTCCTCCCTACCCCATTCCTTGCCCATGTTATGCAAGGAGGGCTCTGTGGATGTGATTACATCATTGGAGGCTGTGCAGAAAACATGAACAGAAGGAAGCCAAGTTGGAGCAACGCTAGCATATTATTCAGTAATCTTAATTTAAAAAGATCTCTTAATACACACTACCAAACTCCATCATCATCCGTGAAGAATAACGGGCAGTAGAGAGTTTCTGAAGTGTTCAAACCGCTTGAAATTGGCAGTATAATAGGGTATTAGCCTCCTTAATCATCAGAGAGTCTTTGTGTAAGATACAGATGCTTTTTCCCTAATGGATGATATCTCAAGACTTCAGGTAGATGTAGTGACTTAGTGCCTTTAAATGCACCAGTTCTCCTGTATAAAATTGCCATTTTGTTTTGCTTAAGCATGTTATCAGCCACTCGCCCTCTGACTTGGAGTTACAGGGAGTGGTGAAGTTTAAACCTGCAGAGGTTTTAACAGTCACAGGACTTACATGAGCCACACGTGCTTTGGAGGATAAGGATAACAGTTGTTATGCCTATTTCACAGTCAGAAGGAACAATCTGAAAACGCTAAATAAATCTCAGGGATATTATGTGAAATATATTGTAGTAAAGTGGCACTTAATCTTGTGAGAGAAGTTTCTGAAGCATGGTCAGCTCTTTTTGATGCTGTTGATACCGCTGACCAGCAGAGGGCAAAGTAAGACAACGAAGGTTGTGGTTTTCTTTAGGAACGTTGTGTTTTATCAGAATAAAAGCATATGATGAAGGTGCTGTGTCAGTCCCACACAGCCCTTTGAAATGTGTCAGCAGTCTTCACTTGTTCCCCATCTTTCTCTTCAGTACTATCTTCTGCATTTTCCCAAGAGGACTCCTTTTGGCCTTTTGCCTTTATCTCAATTATGGCACATCAGTTTGCCAGGGAAGATAAGATGCTTTCTAAATGGCAGTCATGCAGACCCATTCTGAGTTAAGACAAGCAAGATTACTTTTTTCCTTTGCTCTTACAAATAGCAATAGTAAGCTAGATCAGAGAAGGTAAGTTTCCTTTTACACGTATGCACGTTAATTTCATCTTAGATTTTTAAAATAATTTGCCATCTGAAAAGATTCAGTATTTTTCCCTCCTAAAGTTTTAGCCATGTTTTCTCAGTTATATGGGAGGAACCATGGAAAACTAACAGAGACTCATAAATGCTCACCAGTATTTGTGAAGAGTATTTTTGTTTGCTTGTTGTTTTAGCATGTAAGAAGAGATGAAACAAGGAGGGATTCTATATTTATAATTAAGCCCTACAGGAAGATTTGCTGTAGCTGACTTGCATGTGCATTTAAACTGTGGAGTTGATTCAGCCGTGATTTAGTGTGCAGTGTTTGCACACAGACACTGAGGGCCTGAGGCACTGAGATACTTGCAGAGTCTCATGAACGTAGAGCATAATTGGACTTCTGGAACTGATGGTAAGACTGACCCAAAAAGATCCACTCAGAGAAATGCATTTCTGGTCCATCGGTTCTGTCTCTTGGGATGCAAAGAACTATTTGATATAGTGCCATATTTTAATAAAGATGATGCCATATTTATTAAAACAGATGCAACTTGGAACTTTGCAGGAACCGAGGGATGCTAATTTACATTGTTATATTATTATGCAAGCTGTAAGGTTGTCAGAAGGTTAAAGAATTCTAGGAAGGATCTCCCAACGTAGTACACTTTTTTGCATAATTACTTTGTGTACATTGAGGGATGGTGCTGGTTTACCCACAGTAGTTTCTGTATGTCAGAGAACAGCACATTTTGTTGGCTCTAAGCATTATATATAGGACTTTATATTTAGTCTGAAACATTAAACTCTTCTGATAAGTACTTTTTTTTTTTTTTTTTTTTTTTTTTAAGTTCCTTTCCATCTTATCCCATTTACTTTCAGGCTAGATCTTTCAGTAAGAAGGTTCCTGTGAAGGCATATCCTGCTTTCTACCATACGGTGGGTGTGATATCATGCAGTGTTGAAATGATGACCTTGCTTTTGTGCTGATACGTTTGTGAAAAGTAGAGGCTCAAATGAAGCTTAAACTAATTAATTAAAATTGTTAACTAATACTTTATACGTTCACAGGAAAGCGTAATACCTGAAACTTATTCAAGACTTTATGTAGATACTACTGTGGAACCTTGTAATTTGAGCAAAACTTTTACTCTTTTAACTACAGAATTTCTCTAGTGCTGTCTGTACTCTTAGACAATCTTTCTAATGTAAGGGGCCAAAATCTTGTCTAGTGAAAGGTAATGCTTGTCTTCTCAAAAGTTGTTTTTTGTGTTTTCTTCGAATGTGATGGCTACACTACACATGCTGAAACAGACATACTGTCAAGCCTTCTTGAATCCCTAATCTGGTTGCATGTATCACTTTAAATTTAATGCCCAATTAGCTGCGTGCACCACACGGACTAAGCCTTTTTTTCTTTTCTTTTCTAGGTTGCTTTAGATGATTATTTATATAACATACGGAAAGTGGACTTCAATATATTTCACCCGAGCTTACAAAAGAGGAATACATTATTACCGTTGTATTTATATATTAGAACTTGGAAAAAAACATATTAAAATTTTCTTAGCATGAAGTTTGGATTGCTGCTTTTTTTTTCCTCTCTTTAATGACTTGGTAGAATTGTGAAGTGTCTGCCTTCACACTTCTGCAAACTGTACAAACTGCTGTTCATGGGAAGTAGCGGATGTGCACGAACTGTAGCTGTCAGCTTGCTGGCAGTAGTGAAATTTGTTCTTGGAATACTAGGCTGATAACTCTGCTTCACACATCTGCCAAGTCATCTGTCCTTGTCTGAGATTACTTTCCTTGTCTCTTTTTTTGTAATAACAGTAGTGTGGTAGAGTTCTTCTCGGACAAATTCTGTGCTAATGGATACTTGTAAGGCTTTATACCTTAGTGACAAAAATCCAAAACCAACTCCCAAAAAAACCTTTGTACTCCAAAGCAGTAAAGTCATTTCAGCAAATACATTGTGTATCAATTAAGCAATTCTGTTTAGGGCAAAGTGCAAACTTTTTGTGCTATGATGCCTCATAGCTAAAAGAATGACTGCATATATTTGGATGTAAGAAAACTGTCAGGAAAAGCTTCAGCTTCCTTAATTACCTAGTGTTTATGTAGCATTTCAAAATGATAAAATTAGACCTGTAGTAGAGAAATTATTTAACTAAATGTTGAAGTTGAGCTTTAGAATCCTAGAAAAGCTCCAGGTTGGAAAAGACCTTGAAGATCATCAAGTCCAACCACAACCTGACCATACTACCCTAACTATCAGCCCTCTGCTAAATCTTGTCCCTGAGCACCACATCCAGGCAGATTTGAAGCGCATTCAGGGATGGCAGCTCAACCACCTCCCTGGGGAGCCTATTGCAGTGCTTAACAACCTTTCTGTAAAGAAGTTTTTCCTAATATCCAACCTGAAGTGACTCTGAGTAGTAGGAGAATGGCTTTCCAACAGATAGAACTCTTACATGGTTATTATTTCTAACTCAGCCAAGCACTTTCGCTGTGCTCTGAGCTTGGCATTGTCTTCCTCCTGCTCTCTCTGTTACCGGCCACAGCTGTCACTGCCATGGGGGTCTGAGAGCCCCTTTATTCACATTCACTGTATCTCTTAGGACACCCTCCAATGTAACTTCACTGAATTCTTTCTCTTTAATACTATTAAGAGATGCATTCTTGGATGGTGCTGGGTCATTTTAGTCCTCCCTCTTTGCAAATGTACTGCTCTGTTTTTTTGGTGGGGAGCTTTGTACTCAGCATCTCTTAAGATCAAACTTTAAGTGCAAAATACTTGTTTTTTAGCAAAATAATACTTCCTAACATCTAGCTTGATTCAGTTGCACAAATCCAGCAGTCTCCTCTGCCATCATCCTCATTCTATTAAATAGCTTTTATCCTAGAGATTTTTTTCATCAGAATTAATCTCTCCAGATGCTTGGTTGTATAACAGCATCCTGTATTTTGGTGTACAATGCTGCACAGCACGTTTCTGAGAAGATTGGTGGCTTTTTTAACCACAGAATCTGCAAGCGTGGTGGAAGTCTCAGGAACCCAGTGTTAAGTCCTTCATTCAGTGGTTTTGTTATATATGTTTGAAGTTGGTTTGTGATGTAGATCTTAGTTAATTCTGTATTTTCCTATGCCTCAGTAAAACATTTCTCTTTGAATTTGTTCAGCTCATGGTCTTGCTTTCTGTATTAGAAGTGTAATGGTCACGGTTGAGATGAACCTATAAAAGTCTGCATATACTGCATCAAGAGTCCTCTGGATATTTTCTGAAAGTAAAATTTTAATTGGTTCTGTCCTCAACTCAGCTGCTGTATCTTAGCATTGGTGTTCTTGAATTGGGCAAAGGGGTGTGGCGAAAAGAAAATCCTCTCTCCCATTGCAGGCACCACAGCCCTTTCTGCCAAATTAAGAGCAAAGGCTTAGGCTCTGTTGCTACTAGCAGGCCAGCTGCACATTCACTCTGTTTATGTTCTGGAGAAGGCATTACAAATGTCTCTTTCTGCAGTTGGTCCTCATTTTGTTCCCAGCATGCTGAGTCAGGACAAAAGAGGCAGCCCTGTCTTTCCTTTCAAAAGGAATCGCTCTCCTGTAAAGTTAACTTTTGGCAGGAACTTGGTACAGTAACTCAACATCTATGGAGGAGGAGGAAAAGAAGAAAAAACATGCAGTATAACAAGTACATTGAGTTGCTACAGTGATATCTTGCTTCCAAGCCACAAGGCCAGTGCTTTGCTTTGGTGTTGAAGTGGAACAAATCTTGACAGGGCACTTACAAAGGAAGCAGTGGAAGAACTGATTGGTTGTAATGTGGAAAAGAGACTGTGTGATGCACTGAATGGTAAGTGTGGTGAGAGGAGCTTATCAGGGAATTAGTAAACAAGATATGGAGTAACGGAATTCAAGTTATGATTTCATCACAAGAGAGTTGTGACTTGAGAAAGTAAAATAGTTTGAAATGCAAGTGATAGGAGACTGACCTGAATAAGCGGCCGATCTCATTTGTATCCTTCAAGGAACAGTTTTCTTTTCTGGATGGTCGTTCCAAATTTGGCCCTTAGAAACTGAGCTGTGAGTGGGAGCGTTGAACACCTGTCGAACAAGGTAGCTGTAGTATGCGTGCTTTCACTAAGTGCTATCCCTTTTTATTTCTTCCTATTAATTGGTGCCTTAGGAGAAACTCTGCTTGTCAGTTCTGATAGTTTGTAATTTGGCATCCTACAAAAACATCCTCTTACTTCTGCTTTTTTTGTTAGATCTGACAAAATATCTTCTTACAGTGGTGTTAATCTACTAGTCATTCATATCAGAAGAAAACTAGCATGTTGCTAGCTGCTAATTACATGCCTGAAAATAATTTCCGTGCCTAATTAAATAATGTGTAATTAATTTAGCTCGTGTAAAATAGCAGTCCAGCTGCTGGTGTACTCCTCTAGCTTTACGTGACGCCTTGCGCATCTATTTGACCATTAAGGTCCTGTTTTCTCTCGGTTAAGCACTGAATTTTGTTTTCATCTTTCTTTTCAAAGTAGCTTACTGGAGTGTTCCAGAGTCTCTTTCCTTAGACTTGCAGGTTTAAGATTGTAAAATGTAATTGTACTGTTCTTGTAACAGATTGCATCTTATCTGCAACGTGTAAAAACTATGCAGTCAAAAGTTCTGAACAAACAAATTGACATCAGATATCACTTGACCGATGATCTCGAGTTTGCAGTTGAGTTTGTTTCCACCTTAACCTGAGTAAAGAACAAAAGATTTCAGGGAAAAATGCTAAAATCTCATCACAATTGAGATTTACATCCACCGGACTGCACCCACTTCACTCAGACATTCAGAACTTTGCGTGTGAATATTTGCATCTTGTTGTGATCCTCTCTGGTGCCACAGGAGCCAATTAGATGACTATGAGCAATCTGTGCCAAAATAGTGAGGATTTTGTTTTCATATTGTTGTCATGCCAGGTTAAGACCTGAACTACAAAAAAGCATTATGCTGAATGTTCTCAGAATTCCATTTCCTGATGGCAGTTGTGTGTTCCTAAAATTTACACCTGTCCTTTCCCAAGCATTTCCACCTTTTTTCAGCTTTTGTGAATCTTGCTCTAAGTGCAGATTTTTTAACAATGTGGCTGTCAGTTGTGAAACTTTAAATTGTGAAATAATAAGTGCTGTAAGATCTTTCTTTTGCAAGTTGGCAGCAGAAAGCAACTTGTAAATGGTAGCTGCTCATGTGTAATGAATGTGCTGTAAGGTCTAGGAGCAGCTGTCTGTGTACTGCAGGCTGAGCTAAGGATGATTTTACCCTGTGTGTCCTATGCTGAGCACAACTCTTTCCTATTCAGGCTGTTCAGACTTTACATTTTCTTTACTTTTGCTCTAATTGAGTTGTCCTTGTATTAAATTAGCATCACAGTACTCTGGGGAATCAAAGCCAAAATGTTGGGGCCAGGGTGGGGGGATTGTTTGGACTTCATTGAGTTTGTAGTTTAAGAAACAAAACAAAACAAACTCCTCCAAACTGTTAAAAATTCAGAGCACGTATTTAGTTTTACCAGAGTGTGTTTATATGCTGTTTCTTGACTTATTACTGCATGTAATCAGTTAAGGCTGAAGCGTGAAAGCTTAGATTTTGTAATTTCACACCTTCTTTAGTTACCCCAGGCAGAGCAGAACACTGGGGTTTAGGGCATCCGTGGCTATTTAGATTGCCATGCTTAAATAAGCATAAAATTAAATGAGGGGGAGGGAAGAACAGTTGAGCTGTCACTGTCAGGCTTCTCCAGTGTCACAAGGACCTCGTTCCTTCAAAGTGCTCATGTATGGCATTCTGGTTTAGAGGTCCAGTGTCCCTCCTGACCAAAACAGCTGCAGTAAAGGTGAGCTGATATTTTCACTCTGCACAAGTCTGCGAGATTCCCAGCCTCAATCAGCCTCCTCAGTTATTTTCACTCCAGCTTCAAAGAAACAAATGTGCAAAAGCCCCTTTAGGGGAGCTGAGCTCATGTGGCGGTGTGTAAGGGGTTTAATAATGGCTGCAATTTTCAGAAATTAGAGATCTGAACCGTAGCTGTGAAAGTTTTGTGAGGTCTGCCTGCATGCAAATAATACAGCTTTTTGTGTAGTGCAGGTGAAGGACACGAGCAACTAGAGCACGGCAGAGCAGCAATTCACCCCATATATCTGAAACCACAATGCAAATATCTGCTGCATAACAGCTGCTGCTAATCTTTGCAGACCCTGTCTGTGAAGGTGCCTGGAGCTGTGTCTCTGGGTGGGCTCAGAGCTGTCCCAGTCTCAGTAGTACACTGTTTATCTCATTAGCACGTCATGCAGGATCTGGATATAAGGCATACTACTACTGAGGACCTAAGAGCACAGCGCACAGCTGTGGCTACGCTCCTTCAGAGGCATTTCAGCAGCAAAGATCCCCATCAGTTTCCCTCCTAGCTTGGAGCCCTTTCAAGCCCTCACTATGCCAGAGGATGCCATATCTGCCAGGAGACAGCTAGTATGAAGCTGTTGGCAATGTAAATAGGCCTCTCAAAAAGCATGATAGCTTTTTGTACTGGTGTTACTCCACAGTGCAACACAGGATTTGCAGCTCATTTGGAAAGAGGGAGATGAGCGTACAGGGCTGGTGGTTGGATTCGCCACTTCTGAAAGGAGAGCATGGAGCTCTTGTGTCCTGTTCTGAGACTGGGAGTTGGGTGTTTATGTGCTTCTGAGATCTGGATCTCAGTCTGCTGGAAAACATTACTGCAAATCGTTGCTGGAGGGATAAAGGTCTGAAAATCCTTTCCTGCCAACCCACAGTCAGACATTGCTATCATTGCTCAAAACCCCCAAAAGTTCAAATACAGCAAATACATCTGTTTGTTGTCTTCTAATGTCAGGAGATGTAAAAGCACCCTACAGGCCATCTACACTTTTTTAATTGAGTTATTGCCCATCTCTGTCCAAATGAAACACGAAGAAGTGTTCATCCTCTTAAACCATAGCCCTGAACAGAACACTTTAAGGATGGAGTTCCAGATTTCAGCATATGGTTTATTCAGAAACAAACACATGGGACCAGATTCCTTCAGTGTTTTGCAGAATGCTTCATAATGCCAGACTCCTGACAAATTTATATGATTTGTATATTTACAAATCATATAGTTTAAGCTTTTAGTAAAACAATACACATTGAACTGTAAAAACACTGCTTTTATAGGAGACTTGGAAAGCCAGAAAGTACAAAACTCAGGACCAGTGAAGCTTTCTGCTTAAGAAATCTATCTTATCAGATTAATTTCTTGGAAGAAATTAATGATGAAGAATCATATTCTGATTTCAACAGAGCAAGTTTAGAATCAGTCATTATGGGTTAGCTAATGAAAGTGGACACCAGGAATAACGTGAATATTTGAAGAGTCACAGTGAGACATGCTGATCCTTAGGAAACAAAGAGTTATTTCTGATTCAGCTCCTGAGCCCTTCCTTCTCAGGCTGTTGGCTAGCACTTTGGCTATGTAAACTGAGGAAAAAGAACGCTGTTCGGAAGAGATGGGATGAACACTAAATGAATGAAAGGTTGTTCTTTGTTTACATTATTTTCTATTATAAATATTATTTTTAGAGAAAGGCCTTGCTTGTTATTGCTACTTCTCTGCCAAATTTTTTCGTACCTTCAACATGAGGGCGTTCTCTTGATTATGACGGACTGTTCAGCATACGAAAATGCAGCACAGATGGTGGATTTTCCCTTGGCTGATAGGAAGTTGTCCTCAGGTTCTAAAGAGATTTTGAATATACAGATGGTTAGCAATGGTGAGAAACTATTCTTTCAAAAACAGTGATCCTTTCCTGTTAACAGTGCCGGAAAGACAATACATCAGAAGACGAACATGGCTCGAGCCTTCGTGTTATTTGTTAAGATTTGGTGCCAAATAGTGTTTGCTGTGTCTCATCTGTGTGGTAAGTACAACAGGAGAAGAAGGAAGAATCCTGCATTGAGTGTATCTTGATCTCAGCTGAGAAATAACAGATCAGTTTGCGATTTTTGGCTTTTAGGGTAGGCTAAGGTGTTAAAGTCTTGTAATGTTTATAAATGGCAGTAGCTCAACCAAAAACCTGAGACAAAAATTACAAATACCTTCTGAGCTATAGTCCATGACTAGGGTCTACATGTATAAACATGTTTAAGCAATTTTAACAGGGAAGTTGGGAATCAGTCTGAGGTCTTGAATTTGATTCCTGAAGTTTAGTTTCTGTTGTACACATAAAGATACTGGCTCTCACAGTAATACACTGGCACAAGGTCTTCACTGAGCAACGGTAGCTTATGTAACTCTCAGAGCTTTGGAAAAAAAACTTGAAGATTTATAATGTAGAAAAATCCATGTGATTAATGTGACCTCACAGAAATTATTTTACAATTATCGAAAATTACAGATGGTCATGTTTTACTGGTCTTTTTATCATACGAAAGAGATGAAAGTTGTGTCTTTTCACAGGAAAAAAGAGAGCCCATACATTCATGTACATGCTTTTATTTAAAAGATGGAATGTATAAGAAGAATTGTATCCAAGTAGATCAGATTTTCTTTTAAATGCCTCTTCTCATTAATGTTACATGCAAAAAATAACCACTGTTTATCAACTTTATGTTAAATACAGCTCCATTAAAATAGTTTGAGCATCCTTATTTATCACTCAGGTATTTCCTGTGGTTATTTTACAATGAACTTTTTTTTTTCTTTAATGGCAAGAGTATAATTCTAATCCCACCTTGACCTGACTGAGTTAGAATGCTTGCTGACCTGAATCTTCAGAGGATCAAGGTGTTCAGCACTGATTAACACAGGTTTCCGTGGTTCATCCCTGGCTCTGGTCAGCCCATTAATTGGCCGTGGTGAGTTTGCCATGAAGTACTGATCAAAGGTTAGCAAGCAGTGTGGTAGTTTTCACAATACAAACACTGCCGGCTGTTACAGAATGAACAGAAGTAGATGGGAGCAAAATTATAGTAGCATATGTTTCCTAGATAATATGTATTTTATTTTGAATGGAATCCTTCTATCATCAAATAATGAATTTTAAAAGAATAATTACATTTGCATGTGATGTTATGAAGGTGAAAAAAAGGAATTAAATAAATTAGATAAACATGAGGGTGAGAGAGCCCAAAGAAATTATGGAGTCTCCTCTAGAGATACTAAGAACCAATCTGGATGCCTCCCTGTGTGAGCTGCTGTAGGGAACCTGCTTTAGCAGGAGGTTGGACTAGATGAGCTCCAGAGGTCCCTTCCAACCCCTGTGATCCTGTGTGAAATATTATCAGTTGGTGTCTCTTAGAGGAGTGCATTAACAGCAGCCTCTTTAACACTGAGGTCCACACCTCAAAAAAAAAAAAAAAAAACCCTCTTAGAAGCTCAGTTCATGAGATAAATAGGAAATTGCTCTATTTTTATGTGTTTTTCCTCAGTCTCCACTAGCAGTCACTGCTGGGGACAGGGTGAAGTTAACGGGTGCCAAACAGGACTCCTTACGCTCCTAAGATCCAAGAATGTGCAAATCTGTTTGGGGCATTACGTGACTTTTAAAAAATTATTATTTTCCCTTCTATTTTTTTGACTGTATCAAAATGAACAAATTCCAAATGGCGGTGAGGAAGTAATAGCAGAGAAAAGTCCCAGTTTTACAAATTCAGTTGAAATTAGGAAATTTCAATGGTTTGTTGCTACCACAGGAAAGCCCCACTTTCTAACCATTTTTTTTTTTCCCTTTAGAAAATGGGGAAAAACTGTCATCCTGCCTTGTTGCCCAACAATTGGCTGCAGTGTGAAGTGGGGAAAGCGAAACCCACAGTGTTTCCTGTAAGTGAGACTTTCCTCAAGCAGACCCTTAGGCTGGTTTTCAAAGCACGGGCATTGCACTGGAGCGATGTCACAGCAGGCCCTGAGTCTTTCCTCTACAGAGGGCCAGATTAATGCCCAAGTGTTGGAGTTGTGCTACTGCCTCTCTGTATTTATGAGTTCTACGGCGTTTCTGGTACAGTTTGTACTATCAGACCGGGGCGTGTTTCTCCAAGCTGACTGGCAGCTATTCAAACTCAAACAAGTCAGTGACTGCCTTCTGTGTGCTACAAAACGTTTACACAGAGATTGATTTAAAAAAAGAACATGACAGTCCTTTTCGTTCGCTTCAAGAAACCGGTGTTTGAAGCGACAGACAGCTGACTTTGGATGGCGTGCAAAGAATGGAAAGGCGTTTTCGAACAAATCCCCAAACCGAGGCGATGTTTCCGAACACCGAGAATCCCTCTCCGCGCGCCGCCAGCGCCCCGCCGCCCCTCAGCGCTTCCCGCCCGCCTGGCTCCGCCCAAGATGGCGGCGGTCCCGCCCCACGCGGGCGGTGTCCCGGAGCCCGGCCCCGGCGGGTGCATGACCGCGGCCGAGCGGGGAGAGCGCGGCGGGGTTGGGGCGGCTGCCGGAGTGCGGAGCGCCGGGCGAGTAGCGCGGTGAGGGCAGCGCGAAACGGGCGGCTTTCCGCTCGCGTTCAGGCCGCCGGAGCGGGACGGGGAGGCAGAGAAAGAAACTTTTCTGACGGAGCGCGTCCCCGTTGGGGCTCCGGCCGCTCTGCCGCGGCCATGTTGGGAGCCGGGGGCTGCGGGCGGGGAGCTGCCCCGCGGGAGGGGGCGCGGCGCGGAGTCGGGAGCTGCCGCTGCTCGCCGGGAGGCGCTGCGGGGGGAGCGGGCGGCTGTCGGGAAGCGAAGGGGCGGCGGCGGGCGCACGTTTGTCCAGTCCGAGAACAGTTGGGCTTTAACGGGGCTCAAAAGCCCTGCCGCTGCCAGCCTCGGGCGTTACGTAAGTGCGTGGAACCCTCGATCGGGGTTCTCCGGTGTCCGCGGGTTCGAGGAGTGCGTGAGTTGGATCCCAAATTAAGAAATAATTAAACAAGCAGCAGCGGGAAGGAGGTGGAATTGCAGAGGAGCATCTGTCAGCGCGTCGGTTGGGTGTGCGTTTCCGAGGGGAGCGCCGCTGCGATGCGTGCTGCCCGACGGCGGGGCGCGGCTCCTCGCGCCTCCCGCGGAGCGCTGCCTGCCGCTCGTCCGAGGGCTTACGGGCGGCGAACGCGTGCGGCGCGGCGGGGAGCTGGCTGTGCAGCGGCGCTGTGTGCCGGCTGTCCCCGGGTGCCGCAGTTGTCAGCGAGCGGAGCGGCCCTCGAGACTGCCCAGGTTCTCTCGGCTGCCTCAGTACCGCCGTGCTCCGGGACGGGCTGTGCCGGCACAGGGCGGGCCTGATACCGAACCCCGAAGCCGGGGCGGATTTCAGAAGCGCGATTGCCTGTTCCTCTTTCACTCCCTGAGTAAGGTTCCTCTTTCACTCCCGGCATAATTGAGCGCTCCAGCTTTCGGTTCGGAATGGTGTGTTTTGGTTTGGTTGAGGCTCTCTGAAAGAAGGAAAGCGTTTAAAGGCTTAATGCTGTCAGTGCGGAGACCCCAATGATGTTGACTAATCCAGTGAGGAATCCCTGCATCCCTCAATACAAGCTCGTAGAAGGGCTGGTTTGGGATATAGAAAGCTTGGATTGGACCTCAGGGATCATCGAATTCCAACCCTATCCATATGTCTATCAGCTCAAGTCATTAAATAATTCTTTTCCTGGTGTTTAGGGCTGTGCTTATGTTCAAAATGACATCCAGGCTGTGTGTCCAAAACACAGCGAAAGTGAAGCACTGTAAGCATGAGTCCCAAATTCTTCTGCACGTAAATAGCCCGTGTGGCTTCTGCAGCAGTTGAGTTCTGCTCTGCAGAGAAAACCACACAGAGGAAATCCCTGAAACATTAAATGAAAACCGGAGTGTGGGAGCTCAGAGCTGGATTGGCTTACTCCGTCTTATCCAGAAACTGAGCAGTGTCTTTTCACCAAGACACAAGTTTTCATTAACTGCACTGATTATTTATATATGAAGACCACTTATCAGGAGATGTCAAATCAGGAGACTCGGATGTTAACTGTGGGTGAGCTGCTTAGATTTTAGTAGGCAAGGAAGTTGTTGGCTTGCTTTTAATTTCTGCATTAAGAAATTAAAGCTTGTTCTTACTGCCTAAGTGCTACAGGTATGCTTGTGACTTATTCCAGACTCTCTTAATATTCAGGCTTACCTTTCCATTAGCTTTATGTGGCTTTTTAATGATGGATGGTGCTTGTATACGTGTGTTACAGCTCACAGGGATTAATTCAGTAATTTGATGGAAATCTGCCGACCCAGGGATTGTGCTGAAAGCAAATAAACAAGTGTAAAAGCAGACTTTTGAAGTAGAATCATGTATTTAAAACTTTGTGCAGCAAATACTCTGTGGCTCTGGGCAGCCTGGTCTGGTGGTTGGCGATCCTGCACATAGCAGGAGGATTGAAACTGGATGATTGTTGTGGTCCTTTTCAACCCAGGCCATTCTATGATACTGTGAAATACAGGGTTTGTTGTTGTAGAATGACGTTGTGTTTATGATTTAGGGGGGACTCCTTACAGTTGAGAGGGGAATTAAAGCTGCTGTAGGTAGGTGTGGTAGAACATGCTTACACCTAAACCATTATTTTGGCGTTGTCGTAAAGTATAAGCCCTGATGACAACTGTGTTAGCAAGTAGAGTCCTGCAAATTCCTACCCACGTCAGTAGTGCTGCTGCAGTGAGTGGGTCCGTGTGCATGAAGAATTGTTGGACTGCTGGACAAAGATTCTCCTTCTACAGAAGGAAGTGTCATTGTGTGCAAGTGTTACTGAACAGAGCAGTATGTTTCATGATTTCTTTTTTTCAGCCTGATATTTTACATAGTCAAAAATGTACTAATATGTTTGTTTTGGCTCTCGATGTTACATAAATAAGTAGGAACGCTGCTACCATGGGTGTAATGATACTTTCTGCCTGCTTCTGTTGCAACCATGAATAATTTAAGGATTTTGAAATCTGTTTTCAAGTGTTTTTATTTTTTTCCCTTCGCATTTTGATATTTTACAGTAATACAGTGTTCAGCATATTGCATATTCAACAGCATTTAGGCATCTTGTATAAGTGGAAAAGAAAGAGAAACAGTTGAATCTTAAGGGTTTCAAATGCAGTAATGCTTGCCCCAGTCCTGTTCCTGCACATGAGACGACACCGGGGAAGCAGTGAGCTGCACTGTTGCCATGCGATGGGTCTTGGTGCTCAGCAGGGGCAGCGGGCTGCCAGTCCTCCTGCACCAAGGGATGGCGTTGTGCTGGGTGCTCCAGCACTCCACGTGCTTTCCAGAGACCTCGAAAGTGCATCAAGTGCATTTGATAGGCTGTCAAAGGCTGGTGAGTGCGTTTCCCAAGAAGGCTGCGTAGTTCAGCTTTCAGGATTACAGGATTCTTTCAGGAACTGACTCTTTATTTTTCTTTTCCTCTCTTTTTTTTCCCTCTGACCATCACTTGGTTGTGAAAGAGCAATGCAACGCGTGGCTTATGTATTTTAAATATTGCTGGAGAAAAGCAGTTTAATTATTGCTAGAGGCAGAGGAGAGAGGTGTGCAGTTCCAGTCCTTGGGTGCCTTCAGGTGTCCTGAAGCAAGGTGTGACAGGATGTGTACTTGGCTCTGAGCACCATGCTGTGTTCCAGCTGCCTCTGAGCCTCTTGCTTCTGCCAAAATATTCTGGCTGTTCTGCTTTCCCCACTATAATATTGAAGAAGTGCTGCATCTGACTGTGTTATGTACCAGCTACAGGTCTCCTGATTGTAATTCTTCAGTACTGCGTAGTGTTTGGTATGTCTCCCACAGTAGAGATTTCTGAATTTATCTGGAGTTCAAGAGCAGCAAGAAGTCAGGGTGGCAGGAGGCTGTGCTGGTGCTTGGCCTGGGTCCTGCTTCCCTTTGTGGGAATGCCCACTATTACCAAGCTGTTTAAAGAAACCTCTTTATTTCCCAAATAAGGCATCTGAATTCTTAAAGGATGCATGCACGTGAAAATAATATTTTATATAATTAAAACAAACAAATAACAAAATAGCGATAATGTGATTATACTTCAGTACTTGTGAATTGTGGGGCTGCAGGGGAAAACTTTTGCTGTGCTTCAAAATAGGGCTGGTTAAAAGCAAATTCTTTTGTTGTAGTTACCTGTTAGCAGCTAATGCCTCGTGCCTTGTTCTCACTCTCACTTTCTGTGAGATCTGTAATTCTTTCTGTGGCGTGGTCATGCTTAAATCAGTTATGTGTAGTTCGGCCCTTGCTGGACCACTGTTAAGACTGAGTAACTTACCTCATGATGGTGATGGAAGTAATGAGAATGCTGGCAGCTTGATATACTCATTGGCAATGCTGCAGGGAGCACGCTTGCAGACCCTGCTTATGTCAGAGGACCAAATTCTCTGTTCTGCTCAGTCTGAGGGGCAGCCTGCCTCCCTGGAACTGGTTTCTGGCCTGAAGCGTATAGTAACTTTTTTTCCTTAAGTAAGCACTTCTGTATAGTGTATAACATTGACATGTGACGTGTGAGAGTGTCTCCACACGTGCCTCCAAACGCAGTAATTGGTGCTTACCACTGAACCAATGTGATTTTGAAGAGAAGCTTGTGAAGTGGGTTTGGCGACACTTCATGCCAAACTGCTGTAGCTGGGTGATGGGTTACGTTCTGTACTAATGATGCTGCGCCTCTTTCCCCACACCTTCCCAGAAAACTCACTTAAATTACTTATCTCCCCATTTGAAAGACATGCTGTGAATTCCTGTCCCTGTGCTGTGTTGGTACAACATCAGCTTATGCCACAGTTGTTCAGGTGTTTTCTGTTGACTTTTGTCACGGATCTCATCCCATGCTCATCTGAGCACAGCAGCACCTGTGCACGGCGTGTTACATGCTCACCATGTAAAAGTAAAACATCTCTGGCTGTCTGTGCTGTTGCTTCAGGGAGCTTGAGCTTTTGGGGCTCCAAATATGTGTAAATGTCTTAGTTTTGAAATGGTATCCTGGTGTGTTCCAGAGCACCAAGGATTCTGAGCAAGGGAAAACAGGGAGGGCTGGGGCTTGGGGAGCTGCTCCCCTTCCTGCTCCAAACTAGGTGTTTGTCCTGCCAGGAGTCAAAAGCACTATCAGTTACTAAAGTTTGGTACAAATAGCAGTCTGACAGAGGCAATAAACAGCTGATTTCATTATGTGCAGGATCTCTTACAGGTACTTCATTACTAGGCTTCTACACCTTCTCCCAGCATGATGGTATGTAGTTCTGTGAGCTGAGTGTACCTGTGCTGCTGAGGCAGGCCCTGTGCCCTGCTCCTTGCACATATCCTGCACAGTCCCCAGCTGCCTGGGCCTCACTGCTTTCCCCAGTGAGGCTTTGTGTCCCCTTACTAGGAACCTTGCTTGGTTTCACAGAGAAGCAATGCTGAAGCTCTGTTTTTTGAGACCAAAGTATGCTGATAAACAGCTCCTGGGAGTAGTGTGGGGCAAGCTGTTGTGACTTAGAGGGACAAAGCAGTGGGAACAGTTTTGGGAGTC